CTCTCTCTCTCTCTCTCTCTCTCTCTCTCTCTCTCTCTCTCTCTCTCTCTCTCTCTCACACACACACACACACACACACACACACACACACCGAAAAGAGGCATCGCTTTTGAAAAAAAAGAAAAGAAAAAAAAAGAGGCATCGCGCTGAGCGCGCACCTCGCAGGGGTAGCGCGTCCCCATGCGCTGCCCGCACGGCGCACGTCATGCGCGCGCGGTGTCACCGCGCGCACTCCGCACGGCGTCGCACCGCATCGTGCACCGCACTAATGCGCCACAAGTATGATGTAAACCCAAAGAGGAAGGACAAGTCTGCAGTTCCAGTAGCTGATGAGAATCAGGCAGTCAAAGAGCTGAGAGGAACAGGTGAGACATGACCCATCAAAGCAATTCCACAGCTACTAGCAACCAAACGTAAAAAAATAGGCTAACTTAGGCAGGGGTGAGGGATGGTACATCCTTCCGGCGATAAGTAATCAATGCCGTCCCTTGGACTTCCCTACCGTAAAGGGGAAGAGTGTGTGTGAGTCTTTCATGTATTTCCTTTGACTTGCCGGTGGAATAGGAACGGGCTGCCCAGCATGGATAAGGAGCCAGAGCCATAAGGTTCTGTTTTATTAAAAAAAAAAAAAAAACCCTGCACACAGATGACCTCCACCCCTCACAAAATAAAACCGGGCATCCCACAGCTGTAAACAAAAATGAAACTCGAAATGCTGTGCTGAAGCGACCTCTGCAGGTCTTGATCGTGTGCTCTGAATAATGAACGACAAAACTAGGATGCGCCATGCAGAGAACGACAAAGCTGGAAATGCCTCACGGGAGAACTCTGTGTGGCACCAAGTTTGGCTGGGCCCATTGGCAGCGTCTTCCAAGACCCTACCCTTTCTTTAATACTTAGATAATAATAATAATAAAAATAATAATAATAATAAATATAGATGATAGATATAGATAGATATATATAGCTGAAATAGGTTTAGGGAGCAAGGTGCATAGAGACAGTAAGTGACAGGGGATTAGCTAAGACTCTAAGGGGAAGGTACAGTGAGTGCTGGTAAGGCAGCCCAAACAGGTCAGGACAGATAGTATGACAGCTGGACAAAGGTAGATTAAGTTGGAAGAGATGACATAATAATCTGCGGAATTTGATAGGCAGCCCGAGGAACTGCAGGGAAGGCCCCTCTCCGCGCCCTGTCTCTCTGCGGGTTGCCCTGATGCATGTCCGGGTGCTGCCTCCTGGCCAGCAGGGTGGCCCCCAGAGAAAGACCATGGTTTGGGGGGATGGGCCCCCTTTTGCAGGTCCCCCCTTGGTAGGCGATCAAATGCCACAAGGGCTAGTCTGTTCCCTGATCTGATCTTCCCCCCTCTTTGGATGTACAAACATGCTTGCCGGTGATAAGCAACCGGACTGTTGCCCCCCAGAATAGAAGGGGCTGTGTGGTTAAAAAAAAAGAGAAAAAAGGTATACAAGAAATGCGGATGTCAAAAGAAATTGGGAACTATGGTGGGATTTCACTACCCACCCCAACAATCTCTCCTGCGTTGGGGGCAACAATATGGAGCCCGATGATGCGTTCCTTTTCTGGAATAAGGGTGACGAGCTGCACCAAAGATAAGGAAACACAGAAAAATAGCAGTTGGTTTAGTAGATTCAAAAAAATATATATATCTCATAGAGGCATAAATGTCTAGAAATTTATAACTAGCAGATCAGAGACTCGACACTGAGCAGGAAAGAAGGGGGCCTTGCAGAAACATACAAGTGAAAAGGATTGGGGAACAATTTTCCCAAGGCACTGGGCCCTGGGCCCAAGGCAATTTTCCCAAGGGAGATGTGCACTTATTAACAAAGGTAAAGTGGTACTTAACAAAGGTAAAGTGGTACTTAGCAAAGGTGAAGTGGTACTTAACAAAGGTGAAGTGGTACTTAACAAAGGTGAAGTGGTACTTAACAAAGGTAAAGTGGTACTTTCCCTTGGGCACCGGGCCCTTGTTAATACAAAAAAAAAAGAAGGAAAAAAAGAAAACAAAGGTGAAGTGGGGTAGACTGACAAATAAACGTTGGGTCTTAGAACAACTTTTTAATTTTATTTTGACACCTACCTGTAGTGCTTTGTAAGACACACAACGGGCTAAGTGTGCATCATGTTGTCTGCTATTGCGAGAAACGAGCCTTCGCGGGGCCCTTATCAGACACGCAAGTGATCTGGGCTGCGGACCCCAGCAAGCCTTGTGCCCGCCCTAAGTCAAGGAAGGCCCGAATATTCACGAGAGGCCTACACTGGACATTTTTCCTTGTCGGGTATCAGACAGTTGCAGCATGCCAGTTGGTTACAGAGCAACGTCAGCCTCTCCTGCCTCCTTCCAGAAGAAGCAGCTGCGACATGCAGTTGAGCCCAGGGCTCGAGTGGTTGTGCCCTGGGCACACACAGTGTGAGGCCGACACATCATGCAGTGGCCTCGGGCCAATGAGAAAGCAGCATTGTCGTCACACATGATTGCGGCACTTGGAGTCTGGAGGGCTGCCTGGATGCGCCCAACTGTAAAGGGCCCTGGTGTATGCTGGCGGTCGGCATTGGTGGATGACATCACGGACATTAGTCTTCAACTTCGATGTGATCCAGTTGCATCAACGTAGATAGGTGTAGATAGGCTGAGTAGTGTAGGCTGGGCGCTGGGCGCCCGACAGTAGGAGCGACATTGGACACTGTGTTGGTGTGGCCAGAGAGCGTCGACATTGGCATACGAGTTCACTGTATTGCTCTTATTTGGATGGTATCTTGGTGCATTGTGCTCTCTGCCTGGTACATGACTATCTGTGCTACATCGTGATTTTGCAATCTGGATTTCTGTCTATCGCTCTCGATCATATTCCTTGCACTATAGAAGATTCCCTTTTTTTTTTTTTGGTGTAGTTGTGCAGGAGCCACGCTAATCTTCTCTGTAGTGTTCCAATTTTGACGGATGTCCCGAAGGATAGCTATAGAAGATTCTAAGATAAAGCTGGTTCAAATTGTGGATCCACTCATCTGAGCGGAGAAGGGGTTGTTGCGGTGACAATTTACAACACACACATACACACATACACTCAATCAGTTTCATGTATGTCTATTTCATTTCTTACCAAGTGAGCACCCTCAAGAAGTGCTATACAGTCGGTCGTTGGTTTTTGGAGTGCCCGCAACACTCTTAAGGGGGCCGGTCTGTTCGAGATGTCTGTGGTTGTAGTTCCATGGGTGATGACAGACGTTTGTCGCAGTGGCTTCCTGGGTCAGCGGGTGGTGGGGTCCACCAGTCTGTGGGGTTAGACTTGTGGTGTGAGTAGGTGATCGATTGCTTTGGTCCATGTTGGATGTGCGGACTGCCTTGTCTGCGCTCCTCCACTGCCTCGGTGCGCACCCGCCTGCCATGTTTCTCCCAGCTGCTTGCCTTGTCAGTGTTGCTTTGTGCCTAGCCGAATTGCTGCCTCGCTGCCCATCTGCATGCCTTGTGCCATGTGCCCTGTTCTTCACTGTGCACTTTGCTTGCGTTCCATGCAGTTTGGCCGCTTTGTTTGGCAGCGCTGCCTTGCGCTTCTCTGTGTTGTTGCTTTGCTGCTCGTCTGCTTGCGCTGCAATTCCGTGAAGTTAGCACTACCTGGTGCTGCGTAGTTGGGATGCCACGTTAGGGTTACTGGGTGCTTCGCTGACTCGTTGCCTTGCTGCCGTTTTCTGCTTGTGGTGCTGCCCGCTGGCCATCCACTTTTAACAGGGGTGAAAAGAGTCCATGACTCACAGGATTAATATAGGGATTCCGCAGATTGTTGAGGGTCCAGCCTCGTAATGAGTCAGTGCAAGTCTCACGAAACAGTCTGTCTCCAACCTTTTTTTTTTTTTTTTTTTCCCTGTCATTTTTCTATATATTTTTGTTTGGTACTTGTATTCTTTTTGGTCTTTCATCCGTCCAGCAGGTCTACTTGGGTGTATTATTTGGAGCACTGTTGTTGGTCTTGACTCAGATGTGTATTTTAGTCCTGGGGGGTTGCGGCTCTATGGTGCATGGTATTCTACCATGCTGAGGTTGAATTACATGTGTGTTTCACACATCATCACACACACACACACACACACACACACACACACACACACACACACACACACACACATTCAGCTTTCCTTGTACATTGATACCATGCTCAAGAGAACCCCGTTCGAATATACCCCCTATAAATATGTATATAACAAAATAATTGTATAATTATGGAACAAATATTGTGGGTATTGACTGTATATATGAGCTCAGCTCGAGCGAACGGGTGTGAGGACTCGAACTGATGATCAGTATTAACCAGGTCCTATTGAAGGAATGATGAATCTTGTTATAATCATGACTAAGTTCGTTGGGTCTCCCCTAATGTCCCCGACCATCCCGTGAACCTGGCTGATAAAGAAAATTTATTTTGACCCTATGGGCCTTAGGATACTGGGCCTAATATACCACCCCTACCCAATTTGAAATAAGCCAAAAAGGCAGGGAACCATCCGAAAACGGTGGGACCAAAACTAAGCTCAGACTAGAGACTAATAGGTCTGACACACTATTTATAGTTAGAATTAGGTACGTGCTAATCCTCTTTCGTTGTAGCTTCGACCGCGCCTATTCTAACGTGCACCTCGTTACTGGGATGCACGCGAGGATAGTCGTGTTCGAAACTACAGGCTGCTGCACGGTTTACCAAGCCCGCTATGACGCTAGTACAATCTGCGCTGCTTGCTCTGTCTGCGTCCTGCGCCTGTGAGCTTACCGCCGCGCCGTTTGTGTCATTACCAAGGGTATCCATCGCACTATCAGCAAAAGTAGCGCTCTCTTTCTCCCTACTCCCTGTGGGGATTTCAGTTTCACTCACACCGGTGTTCTCTCTTGCCCTCGGTGCGAAGAGAATTCTTTAAGTCACAAGATGGACGCTGCGCTCGGATTTGAGGAGATGCTCAACCTGCATCTGTCTGAGGAAGGGATCGCCGAGAGTGCTTCCGATCCGGAGGTGATGTGGTCGCTGCATCTTGAGTTCAACGAATCCCCTCCTCTGTCTCTTCCCTTCATATCCTTCCCATCCTTCTCTCCTTTTCATCCTCTTCTCCTCCGTGTCTCCCTCCCCTTGAGTAATCAGAAAAGCTCTCTCCTCACCAAGTCTCCTCTCCACTCCTATTCTTCTCCCGATCTATCATGGAGAAAAGTTAGGAAGGGTTCTCGTCCATCTCTTATTTAAGATAGTCGCGAACTGTGCTGTCCGATCTGGACACCTCTGATGAGCTATTCAGTGGCAAGAGTAGCGAAAAACATGTTTAAGGATGATTTGCCACCACCCTAGCCAGTCGGGACTATGCTTTCTCTCACCTACCCTATTTGTGGTATAATGGTGGGTGCTAATTGATGCTCGAGAGCCACTTGTGAACGCTGGATGGGAGTAGAATAATGTGATCCTACGAGTGCTTACCAGTTGTAGTGTATGTGGCTGATGGATGATGATGATGCATGCTTTCTGGATGTTTGAGGAAACGGGGGAGTGCTTTTGGGTCTGTTCGTTTGCGTGTGTGATCAGGCTATGCTGTCGACTGATAGGATTGCTTACCTCAAGCGGGAATAAAGGTGTTATGGATCAGCTCGGCCCAGCACATGGAGTCGTTTCACCTGTTGTTTGCGGCTACCTTGATTAATGATACGTTGTTTATTAGCAGTTAGCAGCAATAAGGGAGTTGGCTGTACTTTTGGGTACATGGGGTTGGCGCCACGTGTGTAATGAAAACTGTATTATTCCTGGATTTTCACAAGAGCTTGATTGATGAGCGGGAGGAGGGGTGTTGTGCGCTCGTTCCAGTTATGGGATGCTAGTTGAATAGGAGTGAATATGGCTGAATGATGGTGCATATATCTGGGGGCGCTGTCCTCACGCAGTAGATCGCTATGGCATTCTTGTAGATATATGGTTGCTGTCATATGGTCCGGATGGACTCTTGTTGGATTGAGTGTATGAGTGAGCAACGCAATAGTCCAGATACCCTTTCGAGGAGTAAGCAGCTGTGCATAACATCGGTAGTCGCTTTCAAGTTTGTAAGGGTTGTGGGTTGCTCTCAACGGCGGGACTATCGAATAACGCAGAGGGACCAGATATTTAGAATGGATGACGACCCTAGTGATTGCTTACGGCGACTGTCCTCCTATCGGAGGCTTCTGCAAAGATTGAAGAACGAGGGCTGGGTGGTTCATGATTTTGTTCTCCCTATGGGTCTGTGTTGAGTAGTACCCCTGATCTTTTAGCCTATCTCGCACGATGAATCACGTTCCTCATCTGAATACTTGTTGATACCACTGTAGGCCATGCGTAAGGAGTTAGAGTGTACCGAGTCTCACGCTGTCAGTACTCTGATAGTGATTTTATGAGAATAAGAGTGGGAATGGCTTATTCCCGGTTTAACGACATTTCAAGGAGTTCTGGTTTTCTACTTTGGAATCTCGATCATCTCTTCGTTGTGATTCTGAGCCTGATCAACTGATGGTGCATCGTGGCTGCTGTTCCTTCCCTGTCACTGCTTAGTATAGCTATTGCGTAACAAGGTTTGCCTTC